GAATAGCCCAAGCAGTCCTGAGAAGGAAGAATAAAGCAGGGGGAATTACACTCCCCAACTTCAAGCTCTACTATAAAGCCACAGTAATCAGGACAATTTGGTACTGGCACAAGAACAGACCCATAGACCAATGGAACAGACTAGAGAGCCCTGATATAAACCCAACCATATATAGTCAATTAATATATGATAAAGGAGCCATGGACATACAATGGGGAAATGACAGCCTCTTCAACAGCTGGTGTTGGCAAAACTGGACAGCTACATGCAAGAGAATGAAACTGGATTACTGTTTAACCCCATACACAAAAGTAAACTCAAAATGGATAAACGACTTGAATGTAAGTCAGGAAACCATAAAACTCTTAGAAGACAACACAGGCAAACATCTCCTCAATATAAGCATGAGCAACTTCTTCCTGAATGCATCTCCTCGAGAAAGGGAAACAAAAGCAAAAATGAACTCATGGGACCACATCAAACTAAAAAGTTTTCATACGGCAAAGGACACCATCAACAGCACAAAAAGGCTTCCCACAGTATGGGAGAATATATTTGTAAATGACATATCCAACAAGGGGTTGACATCCAAAATATATAAAGAACTTAAACACCTCAACACCCAAAAAGCAAATAACCCAATTAACAAAAGGGCAGAGGATATGAAGAGATAGTTCTCCAAAGAAGAAATTCAGATGTCCACAGGCACATGAAAAGATGCTCCACATCACTAATCATCAGGGAAATGCAAATTAAAACCACAATGAGATATCACCTCACACCAGTAAGGATGGCTAGCATCGAAAAGACTAAGAACAAGAAATGCTGGCGAGGATGTGGAGAAAGGGGAACCCTCCTACACTGCTGATGGGAATGTAAGCTAGTTCAACCATTGTGGAAAGCGATATGGAGGTTCCTCAAAAAACTAAAAATAGAAATACCTTTTGACCTGGGAATCCCACTCCTTGGAACATACCCAAAGAATACAACTTCTCAGATTCAAAAAGACATATGCACCCCTATGTTTATCACAGCACTTTTTACAATAGCCAAGATATGGAAGCAACCTAAGTGTCCACAGTAGATGAATGGATAAAGAAGAGGTGGTACATATACACAATGGAATACTATTCAGCCATAAGAAAGAAACAAATCCTACAATTTGCAACAAAATGCATAGAGCTGGAGGATATTATGCTCAGTGAAATAAGCCAGGCAGAGAAAGACAAATGCCAAATGGTTTCCCTCATTTGTGGAGTATAACAATGAAGCAAAACTGAAGAAACAAAATGGTTGCAGACTCAGAGACTCCAAGAACAAACTAGTGGTTACCAAAGGGGAGGGGTGTGGGAGGATGGGTGGGGAGGGAGTGAGAAGGGGACTGAGGGGTATTATGCTTAGTACAAATGGTGTGGGGGATCACGGGGAGAACAGTGTAGCACAGAGAAGGCACATAGTGGGTCTGTGGCATCTTGCTGCACTGATGGACAGTGGCTGCATTGGGGTATGGGTGGGGACTTGATATGGGTAAATGTAGTAACCACATTCTTTTTTCATATAAAACCTTCATAAGAGTGTATATCAATCATACCTTAATAAAAAATTTTTAAAAAAAGCTCGTGTAATACTTTCTTCTTAGAACTTAGTAGTGGGACATGTCATCTTTCCTACAGAACTTGTAAGCCCCTCTGACAGCCATGGAAGTAAGAGGCTTGGATGTTCCTCCAAGAAAGAGCCTGCCAATAGTGTGAGGCTTGCAGGCAGCTGTGGGGTTTGAGCTGACACCAGGCTCTTCCCAGGCAGTGCCCAGCCAGTGACAGAGCAGGAAAGAGCAGGCAGCTGGGGCCTGGCTCTTTCTGCCCAACCTGTGACCCTACAAAGAGCACCTGGAGGCCTGCCTAAGCTCTTAGGGCAGGCTCTCCAGGAGTTGCACAGCAGTGGGGGGCTTTTCCTACCTCATCCCCTCCACTTCACAGCTGCAAGGCCTCGTCTCCTGCCCCAGCCCTTGCCCTCTCCACCCACACGTCTCACCTGTAAGGCTCCTGCTCCTCTAATCCCATCTTGTAGTCAGCTTCCCAGAAGGATCCAAGCAACACACTAAGAAATCATTGCTCCCTTGATTTCCTGGAGTCTGAGCTATACTTTTAATCATGTTTTTCCAAGTCAGCATCTCAAACTGTTTTGCAGAACAACTGTGTTACACGTGCTGTAAGAGATAAAGTACAATTTGTCACTTTACTGTAAAAAGCCCTGGGAAGTCTTGCAATAAAGAATATTTATTTTTGCTTAAATCAGTTTGTCACTTACTTAAACATAGAACCCCTTTTACATGGTGAACCTATTAACTTCCCATGTAGCATTATGGGAAATGCTAGCCTAGGTGGTAGGCATTTTTTATATTTTCTTATTATTTACTTTTTATCAAAGTATAATGTGTGTATGGTGTGTAATGTGCATGGCCTACGTGTACAGCTTGACGGATGTTTGTGTAAGCGTTCCTGTGTGTAGCCCCACTGCAGTGCAGCACCCCCACCAGATCAAGATCTGTCACCTCAGAAAATCTTGTCCTGCCTTTGTCAGTGACACCCACTGTCCCATGCACACATTAAAACCCATTTTTAAATGAGTTTGGTTCCTTTTGTTGTTGATTTTTAGTAGTTCTTTATGTATTTTGATACATACAGAATACAGGTGTTTTATCAGTTACAGTATTTCAGATATCTTCTCTCAGTCTGTGGTTTAACTTTCTATGTTCTTTTGGTGTTTTTTTGATAAGCAGAAATTCTTAATTTCAGTGAAGTCCAATGTGCCAAACTTTATTTTGTGGTTCATCTTTTGTGTCTAATTTAAGAAATCTTGGCTTACTCTGCAGTCATAGAGATGCTCTTCATGTTTTCTTCTATTCCGGTTTTTTTTTTTTTGACATTAGGTCTATGATTAATCTTGAATTGATTTTTGCATATAGTGTCAGGTAGAGATCAAGTTTTATCTCACATAGGTTTTTTTCCTTGTAAACATCTAAGTATTCTGGCACTATTTATTGAAACGACCACCTTTTCACTGCAGTCATAAACCAAGTGACCATGTATATAATTTTGGATTATGCATCCTGTTCTATATATCTGTTCTTTTATGAATACCACACTCTCTTAATTCCTGTAGCTTTGAAATTAATTACTTTACTTTGAAATTTTCTTCCCAACTTTGTTCTTCTTCAAAACATTCTTGGTTAATATAGGCCTTTTGGGCTTCCATATACACTTTAAATCAGTGTCTCCATTGTTCTCAAAAATAAACCTGCTGGGATTTTTATTGTGATTGTATTAGTTCCATAGATCTATTTAGAAGGCATTAGCATCTTCAAATATTGAGTCTTTCAGTTGTGACCATACTATGCGTCTCTTTTTTCTGAGAGCTTTAATTGCTGGCAGCATTGTTTTGCAGATCTTTAGTACAGTCTTGCATGTCTTTTGTTAGGCTTATTCCTAGAGAGATTTTCTGACGTTATGTAAATAACATTTTGAAAAGCTTCCTTTTCCAATTCTTTGTTGATAATACATAAAAATACAATTAATTTTGCATATTGACCTTCTAGCCAGCAACCTTGCTAAATTCACTTATTAATTCTAACAGTTTGTGGCTTCTTTGGCCTTTTTCCTTGTACAATCATGTCATCTGCTAACAGAGGCAACTTTGCATCTTTTCTGTCCACTTTCTACACTTTTCTTTCTTTCTCTTGCCTTAAAATATGGTGTTAAATAGAAGTGGAGATGAAGAGTATCTTTGCCTTTTCCTCAATAGCAATGGCTAAAAAGTGTTTTGGTGATGAAAACTCTTCTTCCAATGTCTTACATAGAGCTCAGACCTTTGTCTCCTAGCAAGGAAGACATGTAGATGTTTTGACTTGTGTGCAGGTGGGGAAACGGGGTCACAGAATTACTTCAAAGCAGAACCAAGACCAGAATCGCAACATCCTGCTGCTGACACTGCTCCATCCGCTGGCCAAGCTGTGCATAGAAGGGCACAGTGGGCTGGGACTATGCTTGAATTCAGGCCTAAAAGTTCAATTTTGTGGCCAAAACTTTTCAGCTGAAATGGTTGCTTTTTGTGACAGTCACCATTTCAAAATACTCAAAACATGAGGAAGAATGGAGATACTCCCCTGCTCCTCTGGACCCAAGTGTAGGACAGTGCTGGTAAGCTTTAGCCTGTGTCCTTTGCAGTAATTTTGGCTGACAGATCCTCAAGATGGCTGCCAGTTGGAACTTGGCTGAACTCAGGGAGTAAGTTCATTTGCACTATTACAGTGCTTGTACCTTTGTTTCTGCTGTGATTTGATAGCTGGCTTATGAAAATCAATAAAAATCAGACATCACATCATTGGTGTCCTTCTGTGGGTAAAATTGCAATATTTCCAGAATCTCACCTGGCCCTAGTGCATCTCCATATCAGTAGGTGTTTCCAAGGGGTGAAGAGAAGTAGTCCATTTCTCTATCAATAGGTAATTACAAGGGGGAGCGAGGGCATATCTGGCCCAGACAGATTGGGTGAGGGTCCTTTTTGCAGCCAGGTCATGAGAGACATGGGTGAGCAGAAGTGGATCACTGCTTGTAGGCAATAAATGGGTTTCTCCCACTTTATTTCTCCCTTTGACTGCTTTCGGTTTCAAAGGTATTTAGCTCTGGGCTGGAAAAATTTTTTCCTCCAAGTTACATCTGGCAGTAGTCAACAGGATCTCTGAACCTGAAATCTGTCTACATGGGTGTAACCTTTGGGTGGGCTGCCCCTAGAGATGGTTGGGAGATGCCTGGAACCACCACTATGGATGGTAGGGAGGCCCAAGTGGCTGCAGTGGTCAAGGGTGCTGCTTCACATGGGAGCCATCTATCCATGGAGCTTCCAATTTGGGAGCCCCTAGTGGGGAATTGGTCTAGAGTAAAGTACCTCTTAGAGGGGTGGGGCCTTCCCCAGAATTGCGGCAAGGTGGAGACACCAGAAGCTGTGGAATTAGCCCTCGGTGAGATAGAAGACTGCTTAGAGGCCCTGAGTGGCTGTGTATCAGCTGGGATTATAGGATCACTTTTCACTATGAAAAGCTATCAAGGAGAGAGAGAGAGGACTATCAGAGAGAGAGACTTCAACAGGAGGACCCAGATGTGGGTTGATTTGATAAAAACCCACAGTGAAAGAAAAACCTGATGAGCAGCCCAATAGAATCTTTTTAGAACTCTGGCATCAATTACAGCCAGAGCAGCAGTTCCAGTCATGGAGGTCTGGGACATGGAAGCTGGAGGCAAAACCCCATGTCAGGCCTGTGTACCTGCAAGACTTCCTGGGGGACAGTACTCAGGCTCTGCCTGGGCCTCTCCCCCATAGGAGGACAATTGTGAGTCACAGTTTGACTAGGAGGGGGTGTCAAGGCCCCCACTTTGGGGGACATGGTGGGGACCAGAGGCCACATGTAGAATTGGCAATTCATTGGTCCTCTGCGAATGAATAATGTGTCGTGGTGCTGAATGTTCTCTGATTTATGGCAACCCTGAGCATTTTCCCGGGATCCCTGCTGTGATAGATGGCTATGGGGGTAAGGCAATTAGAGTAAAGGAAGCCCAAATCCCACTGGGGATATGGCATTTACCCCTAAAGGAGTGTATACTGTGTACATTTCTCCCATCCCTGAACATATTTTGGGGTGGATATCCTGCAGAGCCTGGGGTTACAGACCACTGCAAATAAATTCAGACTGAGGATATGTGTGGTAAAGGCAGTTCATGCTAAGCACCTACCTGTAACTCTGCCTGTACCTCAGTGGGTGACAAATACTAAGCAGCATAAATTGCCTGGGGGTCACAAGGAAATTGGAGAAACTCTACAGGAGTTGGAGAAGGTGGGCATCATAAAGCCCACTCATAGTCCTTTTAATTCCCCAGTGTGGCCAGTGAAAAAACCAGATGGCTCCTGGCATATGACTGTGGATTACTGGGAATTGAATAAAGTCACACCCTTATTGCATGCTGCTGTCCCCTCTATAGCAGCCCTTATGCACACACTCAGTCATGAAGTAGGGCCATATCATTATGTTGTGGACCTTGCTAATGCTTTCTTCTTTATTGACGTGGCACAGGAAAGTCAGGAACGGTTTGCCTTCACATAGGAAAGCCGACAGTTAGACATCCACTGTCCTTCCACAGGGATACCTCCACAGTCCCACCATTTGTCACAGACTTGCAATCCAGAACTTGGCCACATGGAAGAAACTGCAAACAGTGCAGCTGCATTACTACATTGATGATATCATGCTCACATCTGATTGTCTTGCAGATTTAGAAGGGGCAGCTACTAGACTGCTGCAACATCTACAGGAGAAAGGATGGGCTGTGAACAGCACCAAGGTTCAGGGACCTGGTTTGTCAGTAAAGTTCTTGGGGGTTGTCTGGTCAGGTAAAACTAAAGTTAGCCCAGAAGCAGTCATAGACAAGGTCCAGGCTTTCCCCACCCTTACCACTGTGGCAGTATTATAAGAGTTTGGCGGGGGGGTGTTAGGCTACAGGAGAGTGTTTATCCCACATTTGGCACAAATTCTGAAGCCCTTGTACCAGTTGGTATGATAGGGCATCAGGTGGGACTGGGATGAGACACGTGCAGCTGCTTTTACTGCTGCTAAGTGAGCAGTCAAGGCCATAAAGGCCTTGAGTGTAATGGACTCATCAAGGCCCTGTGAACTAGATGTTCATGTAGCCAAAGATGGTTACAGATGAGTCCTTTGGCAGCAGCTTGAATGGACATGCCAACCTATTTGATTCTGGTCACAACTATGGAAAGGAGCAGAGGTCTGGTACACCTTAATAGAGAAGCAACTCAATGCTGTTTACCATGCCTTGCTGGCTATGGAGCCCATTGCTGGAACAGTTCTGACCAAGATAATAACCACTTATCTCAACATGGGGTGAGTGCAAGACTGGACTCAAAAGCCATGGAGTGGTGTGGCACAGATGCCTACACTGGCCAAATGAAGTGCATACTTACAGCAGTGTAGCACCCTCTCTACTAGCCCCTTAAGTGGAGAACTCCAACACTTATTGGGGCCAGTGACCTATGCCAGTGGAAAGCAGGAAGAACTTGGTTTTGAGCCATTGGTAGCTGTGAGTCCTTATTAGGAGGGAGAAGCCCCTATACCTGAAGATACTTGGTATACAGACAGC